TTTGAGAGGTTTTTGCTATAGGGCGCTTGCGCTCGCCAGACAGACAGAGAGACAGAAAGCGAGAAATCACCCCCCAGGGGAGATGGCCACACCACAATCTTTTCTCCTCCCTTTTCCTCTAGGGATCTTGGGCACGCACACACACGCGCCCAGCGTGAGTTTTAAGCCACCGGGTCTGGGACACGAACCATGGTTGACTATGTGGGAGTACAGCGACATAGCCATTATGCTAACTGCTGGTCCCTCCCTCTCTTTTTGTCTCTGTCTCTCTCCAGTGAGCACCATAGGAAACAAACAAAGGGAATATGCCTAGACTTGCTCCCCAGTGCCACCTGGACAGCACTTATATGGTCAAGAAGTGTGATTCCAGGACCAGCAGATGGTATATAATGGTTACATCGCTGTACTCCCACGTAGTCAACCATGGTTTGAGTCCCGGATCCAGCAGCTCAAAACTCACACAGCGGGGAACCAGCAGTTAGCATAATGGCTATGTCGCTGGACTCCCCCGTAGTCTGCTAACTGCTGGTCCCTCCCTCTCTTTTTGTCTCTGTCTCTCTCCAGTGAGCACCATAGGAAACAAACAAAGGGAATATGCCTAGACTTGCTCCCCAGTGCCACCTGGACAGCACTTATATGGTCAAGAAGTGTGATTCCAGGACCAGCAGATGGTATATAATGGTTACATCGCTGTACTCCCACGTAGTCAACCATGGTTTGAGTCCCGGACCCAGCAGCTCAAAACTCACACAGCGTGTGTGTGTGTGTGTGTGTGTGTGTGTGTGTGTGTGTGCCCAAGATCCAGAGAGGAGAATGGAGGAGAAGGAATTGTGGTGTGGCAATACCGCCTTGGGGTTGATTTCTCACTTTGTGTCCCACTGTTTCTCTCTGTCTCTTTGGGAAGCGCATGCACCCTATAGCAAAAAAAAAAAAAATTGTGATTTTGGAGGCCCATGAGTATCGGTGAAATTAACCTGTCATTGAACCAACACTACTTCACATTTCTCAGCCCTCAGCCCTCTCTCTACTACCTTTCTGGCTAAGACTCTATCAGTGATGAATCTTAGCTGCATTCTCCCTGCAAGGTTGTTTACTCTAACAGCAAATTATAAGTACTGGAGCCCAACCTGGAAATAGATTTCTAGCTTTTCTTATATGAGCGTGTTTCAGAAAGTGTTCTGTTGCTTTTGCTTAAGAGCATTTCAGTAATACTACTATATATCAGCTTCCTATATCCATCTTCCTAGAGATAATCTTTCCTTCTGGAACACTTCCATCCAACTTCCTGGGTACCTGGTTTATTTCCTATCCTCCTAAAGTCTGAATATACTGGAGGAGCTCAAATTTTTGACCCAGCCAGCTGGCTAGTATAACTCTAAATTAAAACATCTAAAGACTGTGTACTTTGTATTACTTTCCTAAAGTTTTTGATCATGGATGTTCGTATGACCATGCTTTTGACTCAAGTTCAACTACAAGGTTTTCTACATTTAAAACTTCATCTTTGAGGACCAGCAATTAATGTAATGGCTATGTTACTGAACTCCCATGTAGCCGACCACGGTTCGAGTCCCAGACCCATTGGCTTAAACTCACACTGGAGGAGAAGGGATTGCGGCATGGCCATCCCCCCTGGGGGATGATTTCTTGCTTTCTGTCTCTGTATCGCTCTGTCTTTCTGGCAAGCACATACACCCTATAGCAAAAACCTCTCAAACAAGAACAACCCCCTATAAAAAAAACCCCTAAAAAAAAAAAAAAAAAAGAAAAAAAACCTTCATCTTTGACTTATGCTATCCTCTAATCAAGAAAGGCAATCTTAGCAAACATCCCAAGGTATCCATTAGTAAACCTTTTTTTAGAATTATTTACTTAATTTTATTATTAATTTTCTAAAAATTTTCTATAGGGCATGTGCACTCACCAGAGAGAGAGAAACAGAAAGAGGGAAAGTGAGAAAGCTAGCCACCAGGTTGAGAACTCAAACCACGGTCGGCCATGTGGAAGTCCAGTGCCTTAACCATCACATCACCTGCTGGCCCCCATAAATGAATCTTGATACTTCCACTTATAGACCCCATTTCGTAGAACATGTTTCTTTAATGTTTGGTCTCTGAAAATCACACTTACTACATAGCCATCACTACTTTAAACCAATTTCCTTATCTTAGGGAAGTGACATAGGAAACCTAATTATCAAAGTCCAAAACATTCCTAACATACCAGAAATACTTAAAAGGGCAAGATGGGTAAAGAAAGTTCTGAGCACATTCATCTAAAAAAATTGATTAAAATCAATAATAGAAAAAGATGATCAAGGAAAGTCTGATTAGTGCTGTGTGTCCATGTTATTCTTCCATTGGCCATCATGATCCGAAAGTGTAGAGAAAATAAAGCATTACTTAGCATGGTGCACTTACACCATGTGGAAACTCTAGAATTCCCTAATTGATGTAAGAGCCTCATATATCGCATAGTACTAGGACCAGAAATATGACTCTTCGAGACTTCATCGTGGCTAAAGTAGCAGAAAAATTTGATGAGCATTCCTCTCAAACATTTTGGTAGTGTTGTGAAATGTTATCTCTTAACCAGAAGTTGAGCTTTTGGGTTCACTAAATATAGGTGGATTTAATTTCTTGAAGGACAATAAGGACTTATACTTGAAGTCAATGTTCTTTAAAGATAGCTGAAACTTACATAACACTTTCCAATCACATAAAAGAAACTCCAACCAATATGTGAATGGGAATGTATACACATGTACGTATGAGCTTGGGCACATACATAATGCTTTTAAACAGTGACAGCCAATCATTGATAGATTCACATTTCAAAATAATTTGAAGAGTATTCGGCAATACTTATGCCTAAAACTACACTCATGTTGGGGCCAACAGGTGGTGTGGTGGTTAAGGCACTGGACTCCCATATGGCCGACTGTAGTTTGAGTCCCCATCCTAGTAACTTGCTTTCTCACTTTTTCTCTGTCTTGTGAGAGCACATGCCTTGTGGCAAGTTAAAAATAACAATAATGATGAATAAAATTAAATAAATAATTATTTTTTAAAATAATTACACCCATGTCTATCACCAAGAACTAAAACTCAACATTTAGTCATTCTTCCACCTTTAGATTATTAATGCAAGCACCACAGAGGTGATAATACAATAAATTTTATCAATGAATATTATTTCCTAAAACATTCCTAACATGCCAGCTTTTAAAATTTTTAAGTAATTTGTTCTTCTTGTAACATACCAAGTAATACAGAGATGTGTAAAGAAAAATTTAACAGTTTCTCCCTTTCTTCTCCAATCTCATTTCTCAGTGCCTATTTATGGGCCAAGCATGTTCTAGATTGTGTGAATATGGCAACAAACAAAACAAAGTCCCTTCCCCCCTGGATGGAATAGGCATAAATGTGAGAGACAAACAATAAATAATGCCAGGTAGCGTAAGGGCTATAGAGAAATACAAAGATAAGTAAGGGATCCAGAAAGGCCTCCAAGAGGTTACACTAGGCCAGCAAGTGAGATGAGGTGACTGGATCTCACGTGGTCAACTATGTAGTTCCAGTCTCAGATCCAATGGCTTGAGGGACACACCAGACACGTCTGCATGTATGTTCAGGATCCTGAGGGAAGGTAGGGAAGGAGGAAAACAGATTGCGATGTGATTGTGCCCCAAGAAGGATTTTCTCTCTTTCTCTCTCTCTCTCTCTCTCTCTCTCTCATTCTCTGTCTCTCTCCAGCAAATGAGTGTACCCTCTGACAAATAAATAAATAAATAATATTTGAGGGTCTGGATGGTGGCACAGAGGCAAAATATGATGCTCTGTGAGGCAGACCCACATGAGAAGGTTCTGGGTTCACTTCCAAAGACCTTTCTGAGTATGCCAAGCATATTAATATGCGTGGTCTGGGGCTGGTTGCTGATGGGATCAGATTACAGTGTCAAGATTCTGCGGGGTTCTTTCTCACTCACTTGGAAGAAATGACCTTCGGGGGGGGAAAAAAAAAAGAGGTGACATTTGAGCAAGCATCTGAATGAAGTGAAGGTGTGAGCCAAGTGGATATCCAGGGAGAAGTATTACAAGCTGAAGAAACAAAAAAGTACGGTTTGCTGAGGTAGAAGCCAGTGTACATGAAGTAGAGTGAACAAGGGTCTGTCTTTTAAAAATTCTTTATTATCTGGGGCTCAGCAGGTGGCGTGATGGTTAAGGCTCTGGACACTCCCACATGGCTAACCACAGTTCAAGTCCTGGACCTGGTGGCTTGCTTTAGCACTTTCTTTTTTTCTCTGTCTCTCTCTGATCAAATTAAAATAAATGAATGGATAAAGTTAAATAAATAATTCTTTAAGATTATTTATTATCCTTTATTATTATTAATGCTAATAATTATTATTTATCATTATAGGAGTTCTTTGTATATATACTCTGTGCAGTTATGCTACCAATTTTAGACAGTTGGACTTACGTACGTCATTTATTTTCAGTCTTTAAGGGTTCTTAAAATTACTTCTGTAAATAATTTGTATTGTTCCGAATTCAAATTTACAAAGCAAAGTATGTTGAAAGAAGTCTAGCTTCGTTCTCGTCCCCTCTAACCTATCCTCCCCTCACAAGTATATGAATTTTCTGGTTTTCTGTCTGTTTCTTTTCTTTTTAAAGGTTTTTGCCATAGGGCACATGGGCTTGCCAGAGTGAGATGGAAAGAGGGAAAGTAATAAACCACCTCCCAGGGGATGGCCATGCCACAATCCCTTCTCCTCTTGGGATTTTAGGCATGCATGCACACACACCCAGTGTGAGTCCCAAGACACCAGGTCCCAGAACTCCAGACCACAGTCGGACATGTGGGAGTCCAGACCCTTAACCATGCCACCACCTGCTGGGCCTGAACCTTCTGTTCTTAAAATATAGGAAATACATTCACAGTTCTCTCCACACTTTAGATACTCTTTCTGTACTTTTAAGATAAATGGTAGCTATTATAAAAATACAGAATACTTGATGAATTTGTGTGTCATCCTTGCACAGGGACCATGGTGGTCTTCTCTGTATCATTATAATTTTGGAATCTGTGCAGCTGAAGCAAGTACTAATTTTTTTTGATGCTTATAAAATTGAAGGGTTTTATTTTATCTTATATACAAATAGCCAGCATGATTTCTTTCACTGGGTTTATATCTTGGACAATCCATTCATGGAAGATCATTTAGTCCAACTTGAAGAAGCCTGTGTCCTTCGCGTACTGACGGAAACACTGATGGCACTTGTCCAGGCCGTATTTCTGGATCAGACTGTGCCAGTTCGAGCACATGCGGCAAGAGCGAGAGCCCTGGCCGAATTTTCGCGGGAGGCTCCAGTAGAGCTGTTGATGACCCATCCTGCTTTCAGTGGGGCAACGAAGCTAAAGGCCTAAAATACTAAGATTTTATGTTGATAAGAATTCAGAACTGGACGTGGCCCAGAGATAGCTTCAGTAGGCGCTAATGTGGAAAACTTACATGCATATTCTCAGGAGATACCATGAGGATATCAAGTGTCTGCAGAAAGAGTAAGTTATCCAAAAATAGACTAAAGGCATTGAAAAAAAAAATGAAAGAGTAACCACAGACACTGCCTACCTCACAATCTAGCATAGAGCTCACCTCTGCTTCAACTTACATGTCCCATTTCTGCCAATATTCTATGATATCATGGGATGGATCATTAAAGAGCTTTAATAATTTTTTCAATGAATTCTTTAGGCACATCATGAGACTATAAACACAAAATCCTTCTTAGGCACACAACAATGTTCAAATATTTTAAATAAATTGATACCATAAATTTTATAATGTTTCTTGGGTTATGTTTGAATTTTGCGATGCTACAAAGAAGATGAGGGCCAGCCTTGTAGCGCATTGGTTAGTACTGTGGAGAGGGAGCTGGATCACAGGTGGCTGACTGAGGTTCAAATTTCCTGTGGAGGCTTGAAAGGGGGATTGCAACGTGACCAGGCCCCATGGGGGAGGGGGGCAGTACTCTCTGTCTCTCTGTCTCTCTCTCATCCACACATGCCCTCTGGCTTAAAAAGAAGGAAGGAGGGAAAAAGAAGAAAATTTTAGAAGTGACTTTAATTTGTTTCAACAAATTCAATTCTTTAAGCTTTTTTTAAGTTTATTTTTATTTGTGAGAGAGAATGCATGTACACCTGAGAGAGAGAGTTACTCTTGAGAGTCTCATTGCATCACAGTGCCCTTCTTAGCCTCCAGTTCATCAGAGTCTGGGGCAAGCACACAGGCATCCCATGTGCTTTCAGGTCAACTCAGGATCTGAACCCACAGTGAGCCAGGTGGCTTCCAGCACTGCAGTACAGTACACTACCACCTGTCTCACAGAGACTAGGCCCAGACTCAAATCTTAGGTAAATGAGAAGAATAAAATTATTATAAATCCCTTTGTACATAACTATTTATTTGTTACTTAATTTATCTATTTTCTGAGAGAGATTTTTGCTATAAGGCACGTGCACTTGCCAGACAGAGACAGAAAGCGAGAAATCACCTCCCAGAGGAGATGGCCATGGCGCAATCCCTTCTCCTCCATTCTCCTCTGGGGATCTTGGGCACACACACATAGATGTACTTGGCATAAGTTTTAAGTCACAGGTCCAAAATTCAAACCACGGTTGACTACGTGGGAGTCCAGTTACATAACCATTAAGTCATCTGCTGGTCTCACTATTTATTTATTACTGAGCAAACATTTATTGAGTGACTACTGTGTTTAACACTCTATATTAAGTGCTATTAAAGACATAAATATGAATTAGACATAATCCCTGCCCTTGAGAATCTTACCATTTGTGCTAAGTATTGATTTCTGAGCTATAAATCCACTCTTCTCTGCCTTGCTTTATTATTCCAAGTTGGACCCTGTACACATTTCTGCTTTTTTGATCTTGTTTTTCAAGGACATTGACTTTTTTTTCCTCTTTAATTGTCAGATGGCATGTGTGCTCTACAGAGAGGGGGGAAGAGAGCAAAAGAGAGAAGGCATTCCCTCCCCACCATGGGATGTGATTATGCTTCAATTCTCCTTCCTCTATTTTTCTCTCCTCCCAGGATCCCAGGAACACATGCACACGTGCCTGGTGTGTCCCTCAATTCCCCAGGGTGGGGACTGCAACTGCAGTAGGCCATGTGGGTTCCGGCCCTTTATGCACAGCACTCAACCACTGTGCTAGGGGGCCGTCACCCCCCTTTTTCTCTTTTTAGCTAGAGGGTGTACACATGCACATTCACAAAAGAGAAAGAGAGAGGAATCAACAGATGGCGTGATGGTTACATTGCTAGACTCCCACGTAATTGACCATGGTTTGAGTCCTGGACCCAGTGACTTGAAACATGCCAAGCATGTGTGCATGTGTGTGTGCCCAAAATCCCAAGAGGAGAATGGAGGAGAAGGGATTGCAGCATAGCCATCTTCTCTAGGGGGTGATTTCTCATTTTCTGTCTCGCTGGCAAGCACATGTGCCCTATAGCAAAAACCTCTACAAAATAAAAGGAGAGAGAGAGAGAAAGCACCCCCTCTCCCTTAAAAGAGCTTGATCCACCACTTCCCCCTCCACTCTCCCCCGTAATTTTCCATCCTGTCAGGATCCTGGTCAAGTGCACATCCAACAGGAAGCCAACAGAGCTGGCACTCATTCTGGTAGGCCATGCAGTCCGACTTCCACTGCAAGGTGGTTCACCACTGCAGTAGGAGGTGGTCCATATTTGCTTTGACAACTGGTGAAATATTAGAATTTGGCAATAGAGGGCGCTATAATGACATCATGAGGCCAGAGCAGAAGGAAAGGCCTTTCCTTTCTTCTGATATCCTGTATTTGTGTGGAGCCAGTGGGCTAGTTTGCAGGAGGCCTGGTAGTGTTCACCTTAACAGTCCTCATGGATCAGTTATGGTCCATGCTTCCAGCAAGGTTCTTCACCCAGGGAGTCTGCTCATTCCTGTGGCAACCTCAGCCTCTCCTCTCAATTCCTAAGATTCTTCCTTGCTGTTCACTCCCCCTCAGTCAGGGATAGATGCTGTACCTCCAGTTATACCATTGTATCCCTTGAGTCCATTCTGTTCCTTTCAGTAGTTAGATACCTTTCATCAGTTGACAATTCTTTACCTTGTTTATCCTGTTTGAATTATAAGTATTGTTTCTGTCTCCTGATTGATCCGGAGAGATATACCATAGAATAAGAAAGAAAAGACAGGTGTCAATTTATGTAAATTCTGTGGGAGAAAGACCACTTCAGCTCTAATCACAGCCCAAAGACCAAAGAATTTTAGAGATGTACATCTATAGAATTATATGTCAGTTATGGTTATGTTCAGTTGCATATAACAGGAACTGATTTCAGTGGCTTACCCAATTTTTTTTCAAGTAACATAAAATCCGTAAATAGGAAGTTAAAGGCACTGCAGCTACTATAAAAAGTTAAGAACTTAAGCTCCTTCTATTTTGCAGCTTTCCCATTTTTCATGTGTGACTTTTGTCTTCATGGTTGCAAAATTGCTGCTTCATCATTTCCAGGCATTGGGTCTATACTCCAGGCAGGAAAAAGACAGGGTGTGGAAAAAAAAAAAAGATATGATCCATCTGAATCTATCTCCTTTGTAAGCATTCTTAGGGGCACGGCCAAGAAACTTGAACTCACATAGCATTGGCCATTCTTAATTTTAAGAGAATCTGTGAAGTTCAGTGTTTTGTAAATGGGAACTCTATAAGTAAGAATAAAGTAGAGAACAGATGTTGAATAGGCAGTTAGCTATGTCTAGCACAAATTAATTGAAAAATTAGAAATTAGTAACTTACTTATTTCTTTGTTTGTTGTTGTTTTTTAGAGAGGTTTTCGCTATAAGGCGCGTGCGCTCACCAGACAGACAGAGAGAGACATAGAGACAGAAAGCGAGAAATCACCCCCCAGGGGAGATAGTCACGCTGCAATCCCTTCTCCTCCATTCTCCTCCCGGGATCTTGGGCATGCACACACACGCACCCGGCGTGAATTTTAAGCCACTAGGTCTGGGACGCGAACCGTGGTCGACTACGTGGGAGTCCAGTGACATAGCCATTACGCTAACTGCTGGTTCCCTAACTTACTTATTTCTGAGATGACCAACAATCAGCAGAGGCACTTGATTTCATTTCCTTATAATTATTCATTCTATTTTAATGTAAACATTTTTTATATATTAATTATTAACTATGACATAAATTCATTTTTTCCTCAATAACTAGCATACAACCAGGAAGAAAGACTAGAATAAAATTTATTTTATTAGTATATTGTTTTCCTGTAACTCTTTTATATAAATTTTGGTCTATACTCTCTGGACCTGTGACAAAATGTGGAGAAATACATTTACTTTTAATTCCTTACCAAAGGGTTCCATTTAATAATATCTATTCCAGGATACCAGATGTCATGAAAGTAGATAAATAATTTTTAAAGAAGTCAAAAAATGAAGTTTAAGGACAAAAATGTCTGCAGGAGAAAGTGATTTAGTAAGGCAGAGTTAGTAGATCTAAGTAAGTAGATCTTTTTGAGAGAAACCAAGAAATTTTTTCTATCCAAATTGTATCTCTCACATCCTAGTAGAAGTCTGTCTTTAATTAGGTACTTTCTTCTTTTTTAAAATTATTTTATTTATTTATTCTGATCAGGGCTGGGGGGGCCGGGGGGAGAGAGAAAGTGAGAGAGTAAGCCACAAGGTCTGGGACTTGAACCATGGCCAGACATGTGGGAGTCCAACGCCCTCAACCACCATGCCACCTGCCAGCACTGTTAGTGAGGTACTTTCTGACCAGGTCAATCTTTCTCAAGCTATTTCTCTTAGCACATCAAACAACATCCTGGAACGTGTATCAATTTGTTTTTTTGTTGTTTCTAATTTTTAAAATACTTCAGTCTCATTTTTCATATACCCCAATTAGATTATAAACTCTTACATTTTCCCTGTATCTATAGAATGTTCAAAGACAGCACAGTGTTTATCTGAGGGTCACCTCACTTGAATGATCCTATAAAATTAGTGCAGGTTTAGAGATTTTTTTTTACAC